TGAGGGGGAAGAATAAAGTGAAAGAGATCAGTTCCTTTCTCTCAAAATGCCACTTAGCTGCTTGTTTAGTCACTAGAGACTCCCTCCTTATACCCTAGTCATCTCTGCTTGCACACAAGTGAGAGGTATCACCATCTGCCCTTTTCTTTCTCTCCATTCCATTTACAATATTCATTGTACTTTTTTCCTTCTTTTCTTTTTATTTGGTTGCATGTGATCTAACACAACCCCCTATTAAACGTTGGTTGGGTTCTGGTAGACTCAAAGAGAAGAGGGGCCCTGTTGTCTATTCAGGGGCAAGTATCCCCAAGTGAGGTTGACAATAGATTGGGGAAGAGGTTATGCTGAGGCTGACACCCCATTATTGGTAATAGGAGAATTCCTCCTTTCACTCGTTAACAATAACCCCAAGTAGCCCCTCTGGAATTATTGGGACGACTAACAGATTAAAACTTGACTCTCTCTCTCTCTCTCTCCTTGAAATTGAAGGAAGAAAGAACCTTGAAGCACAGTTGCACATTGGGGGCCTGTTGTTGAGAGTTAATGCATTTCTCAATCCATCTATTCTATTCCAGAAGGAATTGCAAATTCATGCTTGTCTAGATCGTATATAATTATAGAATTAATGCGTATTGAGTGTTGAACAAAAGAGCCTATATTTTATAGGTGTATATGTTGGGAGAGTGTTGATACAACAAGAGAAGAAATGCAATAGAGACAAGTAGGAAAGAGGGAGAGATCAGGTTTGAGTGAATAAAGAGGGAGCTCTGTATGGACTTCTATAGCTCCATAGATCCCAACTCTCCTAGTGCAGAAAATCGTTATCATATGTATTAATGAGTTGATGAGATGATGAATTTTGAGCGCACCTCATCAAAGCTTTTGCTGTGTGTGATGCCCCTGCCAACAAAACTAACAATGGTAGAGTTCCATTTTGAATCAACCATGGTATTAGACCATGAAATTGAACCTAGGTGGCATCAATGATACCCCAACACCATTTTCATGGCTGCTTGATCTGGTTTCATCTGTCATATATACAATAAACATGTTTTCTCCGTTCGATAAGGATGCTTGTCGAACGACAGACTGCGCGTAGGTTGCCAGAACTCCCCCTTTGTGCTCGCATTCTTTTCTTTCATTCTTCAGTCACACTCACCAACTTCATTGACAGTACAAGGGTCACTAAGACCACTAGAAAATAAACACTTACATTGTTCTTTGGTAACCAGACCTGACCTTGGAATAAGAATGAAATAGGGGACCAGCTATGTGGGGAGCCATGAAAAGCACATCCACATACCATGTGACAATTGGTGGTCTTAAGGTACAGCATTCCATTACAACCTCAGGTATATATGCAACATTACAGCTTAACAACATTTTTCAATAAATGTGTTTCTGTACAATAGTATTGCTTAAAAGAATATTGTAATTTGGAAATTTTCAAACTACCTTTCTAGAAGATTGTTCTTGGAATTAAGACAGAAGAAGAAAAGAGAGATAAGAAATAATTATGTACTCTCTATATTCTTTTGTTTGGCTTTGAAAATAGACCCTGAGGAATTAATACAGGAAGTAGTGGATTTCTTGCCATGTTTTTGCCACTTCAATGGAAAATGGAAGGATGGGGGTAGTCATTCCAATTTCCATATTCCAGTGAAGTGTGGATTCCACTCTGGCTTTCCACTTCCACCCCTCCAATCCAAGAACAATCTAATTCAATTCTGAAATTTGAGTTGTAAAAACAAGTTGGTCCTTCCAACGGTAGACAACAAAGGCCACGTTGCCTATGTTTGAAAGAATCTTCAACTTATCATGATAACATAGATGTTATGGCTTAACATCCACCATCAAAAGGAGCATTCCCTCCTTTCTAAAAGGAGTGAAAAAAGAACCCAAAAGGAAACTTTTTATTCAGTCAGTTTTTCACCTGCTAGTCAATAATGTATGCAAATTTTCACTGATGCAAATAGTCAAGTAAACTGTTATAGCCTTTAAAGTAATTAAGTCACTAGACTTGGGGGAGGAGGCATCACCACGTCTCAACTCCCTTTGTCAGTCAATGGCCATTACTCAACTCTGGTCCCAGTCAGTTATCAAAGTTCTTGGGAGGATGGATTAGGATACAGACCTAACGCCTGGGGATTTTTTTTTTTTTCTCTCTTTGGGTTACATCAAGGAAAACAATTACACAAGACTAGGGGCTGCTCAATCCCAGGAGTCCTCAAGCAATATCCTCAGCAATTCACTATCAATTTGGCTATCCTCACAGTCCAAAATATCACCACAAAGCAGCAGCCAACAGACAATGGCCTCTATATAGTTTCTCAAACTGTGTTTATGTAATGGAAAATCGCTTAAAATTTGCTTTTAAATTGTTTCTAGCTTATATGTCGATGCTACTACTCAAACTAATAACCCAATCCAATATTTGAATAAGATTTGAATTAAATCAGACCAACCCAGTTGAAATTAGGGGTGGCCACGAGCTGAGCTTCTCACGATCTATTCGAGCTCGACTCGAGCCTGATATATAGGCTCGTTTGCTAATCGAGCCGAGCTCGAGCATAGTGAAGCTCGATTCGCGAGCCTAGTATAATAAATAAATATTTTTTATTATATACATACATACATACATAGATATACATATACATATAAGTATATAGAATAAATAATTTTTATTATATATAATATTTTTTATTTTTATTGTATAATAGCAAATAATTTTTATAATTCTTATTTTTTGTATGTAAAATAAAGACATTTTTATATGTATGCTTTTTTTATTTTTTATATGTATAATAAAAAATATTTTTATATGTATAATTTTTATTTTTTAGAAAAAAAAAACTTGGCTTGCAGTTGAGCTCGAGCCAAACCGATCTCGATTTTGTGAGCTTTGAACTGAGTCGAGCTTGAGCTCAAGTCTCTAACTCGAATCAAACTCAAGCTCGAGCTCGAACCTGACACAGTTTCAACAAGCCAAACTCGAATAACTAAGCATTCAACTCAGCTCGACTCGAATCCACCCCTTTGAAACCATCTGCACCTAATTGAATTGTAGTTGAATAAACTGGACTATGGATGGTTTCATTCATATTACTTTAGTTGAGGAAATAAGGGCCCATGGGTGGGTGGTAGAGATTGACTTTTTAGTTCCTAGAAAGTGCTTGGAATTGGGTAATGGTTAAGTACATTGGACCCTGGTCTATATCTCACATTAATTGAAAGGGCCCCCCCACCCCCATGGGCTGTTCACTTCTTAATCCAAATTAATTTGCATATCTAGCTGCAGTCACCACATTTCCTTTGCTTAATAGAGAGATATGACCCGGTACAGTTTTGAATATGTGACATGACAATGCATCCAAAATGTCATTTAAGCTATTAGAAAGTAGCGAAAGAAAAGAATTACATGAACAGTGCTGTGATGCCTTACACACTGCATGTGTTATTCCTGGAAACAAGAATTCATTTTCTTTCTTCCCATGAATAAATAGCAATAATATTATAGGCTTTTGATGAGCTCTTGCAAACTGAAACCCTTACATGTGGCTGCTGCTCAGATTGTCTAATAAAATTCCTCATTTTGTTTCACTTATTTAATGGCAGAAGTACTTTGTGTACAGTGAGTGATGAGGGTGATAAGGTTAGACAAAAGGACTTATACAGAAAAGGATGATAATGTGAATGCATGTGCCCAATAATCCAGGGGTCCCCTATTAGATGTATGATCTGATCAGGGCTGGACCATGAAGAAAAAGGGAGCTAAGTCCAGCTGATCATTTGAAATTAGAAAATGACCTAGAAGTAACAGTCCACAATAAAAAAAAAAATACATTACTGCAGGGAGGGATTAAACCCAGCCCATGTACATTTCATACCTTATACAAGGGTTCAGAGAGCTATCAGATCTGTGACTGTACAATAATCAATCTGTATATGGACATTGACCATATTACAGAGACCCATTATAATAATTTGTCTATCATCTAAAAATAGACAGTTGATCAGAATGGTTGGACCATTAAATTGGCATGCTTTTCAAGCTACTTCCTTTAAGATGTGTTTGGTTTGATTGAAATAAAATAAGAGAGAAACAGAAAGTTGAGGGGAAGCCCTCAAGGATTCATAAAATTTGTTAAGAACTTTCACTCAACTTTCTGTTTTTTTTTTCCTCTCTTATTTTTTATTAAACCAAACATAGCCTTGAGGATGTAGTTTTTGCTCTTAGTCCAAATTAAGGGGAAAAAGACAATATTAATTAAAAAGAGATAATTGTTTAAAAAGTTGAAAGTATTGATTGCTCATCTAAAGCAATGTCAGACTCGAACCAGGCCAAAAATTGCTTTGATCACTGGATTGTGGGTTGAGTGGTTTGACCAACCGGATGACTAGAATCATTTAAATGAAAAATGTGAAAAATAAAACTTAGAAATAATAAATAGTTTTAGATTATCTTTTAAAACTATTTTACATCAAAATAAGTTTATAATAACTACATGCTTAACACATAATAATATATCTCCTTTTGGAGCAACTCTTACAGAGTCAACATTTCTAGCTAAGAACCAGGAATGCCAAAAACAGCTTTTGATTGTTGTTCCTGGTCCAAATGGTCTGACCGTCCGGTCTACCCAGTTTAACAATATTGATCTAAAGCTACAAATGACTTAGGTGATAAGAACTAGGGTTATCAATTATGGGTGAATATAAACAGGAAATAAGCAACCTCAAGGACGTGGAAATTAGGGCTGGATTGAGTAAATTGTCCCAATAGTGAAATTAGGATTTATTGAAAGAAGCACAAACAGAGTTTGGCCTTAGTGGTTTGAGAGACAAATGCACACGTTAAAGCTTTCACTAAAATTTCCCTTTCTCTCAAGGAAAACAAAGAAAAAGGAGTGAAAAAGGAATCAATGTGTTAAGCATCTCTCTCTCTCTCTCTCTCTCTCTCTCCATACACAACGGGCCCAATCCACGTCCACAAAAGAAAACTCCGCTCTCGCCTTTTCATTCTCTCTCTCTCTCTCTCTCTCTCTCTCTCTAGCCTCATTAAGTGTCATTTTCTCACACATACTTCACACAAACAAGCGAGAAACAACCATTTCACTTGACACCTTGTCCTCCGCTCGACCTTCTCTCTGTGTCTGTGTCTGTGTCTGTATCTCTCCCTATCTCGCGCACACTCTCATTCACCCCTCTCCCCCAACCCTCGCACCTCTGCAACTATAATTGATCAGCACCATCATAATAAAACCCTGAAATCTTAACCTAAAATTCGTCATCCATTTCATTGGTTCTCTCGAAGCTTATACCTTTTACCAAGAAGCTAGACTGACACCGAGAAGGAGAAGAAGCTTAGGAAGAAAGGGAAAACAACTGTAAAGAGTTACAGAAGCTGTTTCTTTGCTCGTGATGGAGCTTTTTCCAGCCCAACCGGATTTATCACTTCAAATTAGTCCCCCAAACAGCAAACCCACATCAGGATGGAGGAGAACAGATGAAGAGCTACACTTGGGTTTTTGGAAACGAGCCCTAGATTCCAATAACACCATCACTTCAGCTGCCAAACCCAATACCAGTTTCGAGCTCTCGTTGTCAAATCCCAGCAGGGCGTCAGAACCTAACTCCAATCATCTTCATCATCTTCTTCACCATGGTCACAGCAATCTTATCCATGTCAATCATCAACAGCATCATCAAAACCAGCAACATCAACATCTACATCAACAAGGACTTCACCAAGAGCTTGGATTCTTAAAGCCCATAAGAGGAATTCCTGTCTACCATAACCTACCTTCGTCCTTCCCTTTTGTCCCACAACAGACTCTCGATTCTTCTGCAACTACCACCGCCCCCACTACATCTACTTCCTTCCCTTCTCAAAGTCTCATGAGATCGAGATTCTTGTCGAGGTTTCCAGCAAAGCGAAATATGAGAGCTCCTCGAATGCGATGGACTACCACCCTCCATGCCCGCTTCGTTCACGCAGTTGAGCTATTGGGTGGCCATGAAAGTAGGATTTATTTTTCCCTTTTTTCCGTTTTATTTTCTTCCATACAGCACCCAATTTTATCTTATGAGCTTAAAAAGCTGAAAATGGTCTTGATTGATGTTGTGTTGATTATTTCTTATGGGTTTTAGGGGCTACACCCAAATCAGTTCTTGAGCTCATGGATGTAAAGGATCTCACTTTGGCTCATGTAAAATCTCATTTACAGGTAAAAGAACCTCACTACCTTTACAAATCTCATCTGGGTTTTTCGATCTTAGCCATGAAAATCAAATATAGTTTTCATAAGTTGAGGAAATCTGGAAGTATCTTCTTTAATTTCCGCTTTTTTTTTCTTTCTTTTACGCTTTTAATCTGCAGTCTTTGATGCAGTTCTCATGGTGTTTTCTAAGCTTAAAGTTGCGTTTTTTCCGGCCTACATTACTGGAAAGCTTATCACAGACATTGCAAATTCCGAGATTTCTCTGCAAAGGGTCTCTCAAACCCTCAACTTCTCTCTTTCTTTTTTCTCTTTGAGATTTGTGGGTTCTGCAAGTTAACAGGCAACTTTTTGCTTGGAAGAAGAAACCATTCTACTAAGAGAAAAACATAGGCGGAAAATTTTTCTTAAAATATTATAAATATTCATTTCAGAAGACGAGTAAGACAAAGTGCAAGAAATTCAAAGCTGAGTCTTAGCCGAGCCTAGCCGATTTTCTGACCGATTTTACTAGATTAAACATCAACAACAACAACGAGCTTCCTAGCTATAATTCCAATCTACACATTCTGTAATAATATATTAAGATTAAGATCACTTACTATTTATTAAACAAAGATCAATAGTTTTTCCTTTTACAGGAAAAAACAGCAAATATCCAAGTACGAAACGCCATCATTTCTCAATGATTTCTTCTTCCCCCGGGTTTCCCAACCAAACCCAAAACCGTGGTTAACCTCTTACGTCCGTACATAGAGTCACACATACATCCATTCATGCATACATACATGCAACCATACATGATTATGGCTCACATTCTGCCTCATACTCGCATACTGTATGTACTGCCACCGTATTAAGACGTGAGCTTTCGCTCATTTGTGTTGTCTATGTAAGGAATTGGGGTTGTAATAATGGTCTTCTGTGAAAATTCTGCACCATTTTTGTGGGTGTAGCTAACGATGCTGATGAAATTATTGTGATATACATTTGGTTGCAGATGTATCGAACTGTAAAAACTACAGACCGACCTGCAGCATCTGGTACTCACTGTGTTTTTTATATGTCTCTACTCTTGTTGTGATTTTCTTCTAGTGATAGAGCTAAGTGGCGCTTGATGAGTGGTGTCCCTGGAAATGGTTTTCTGGTATGATGGATGATTCATTGTTGTTAATATGCCAGGCCAACCGGATGGATTTGAAAATGGTTCAGCAGGAGAGGTTTCTGATGACATCATGCTCGATTCACGAGGGTCTGAGCTAACTGTACAACAGGGCAGGCCAAGCATGCACCAAGATCAGGACTATCGTGGTCTCTGGAGCAATTCTTCAAGGTGAGACCATAATTGAATCAGTTTTTTGTTTTGATGTACAACAGATATAATAGGACCCATGTTTTGAATCTTCTTGAGTTTTGATTGGAAGCTTGCCAATGAATGGATTGAGTACCTACTCGGTTGTCTCGATGAGTTCTTGATAGCTAACTGATGATATCATTTTTTACCCGCAAATAAGTATATCCATGTTTATTAACTGAAGTACTGGATGAGTATCGTTGTGTGAGATTGAGGCTTTAAAACCCCACTCCCTCCCCCCCCCCAAACAAAAAAAAAAGGAAAGAAAAGAAAAAAAAACTACTTTTGACAGCAAAACAAGAAAGAACTTATGTGGATACGGATACTTAATATGACCATAGATGTCTGTCTACATTTAAGATATAAGTTTGCAATTTCTAGTGATAGCATAGAGCCTCTCAGGCCGAGAAATACCACTTCAACTCCATTGGTAGCCAAAACTAGCCTCAGGTACAGCTTCACCAAAAAAGAGAAAAAAAACAAATGTTCTCAGTTACAGATACTCGTGTAGCTTCATTCATATCCATTAATATACGACGACATTTCAAGAAATCAATTGGGACTCAATTATGTTAGTCGTCTACACAGAACACTAATGTTGTATTTGCTCAACTAGCTAGTATCTGGATGAATCTGGTGTATGGGTGTGAGTGCAAAACACAAAAACAAGAAACAAAAAGCTCAAGTGATCACAAAAAGAAGCATAAGTGGTATCTGCTTTGTTCTATCAGTCTAGATAGTTGGGCACTGAAACACCATGATGGAGCAATAATTCCTTCTAGTAGCTGGAAAAGAAAGTGAAGGAACTACCCCCTCCTACCATTCCAAGGCATGCATCGATGACAAACCCGACTGAGTAGTGGAAATATCTCTTTCCTTGGGATTTTGTGGGGGCATTTAGGGGCAAGCAAATGAGGCCCATAAGGTAGAAAGCTTGGTGCCAAAGCTAAGCTTCAATGAAGTTTCCTTGTAATTTCTTGTTATGGATAATGGGCTATCACATGGGGTTTCAACTTTATTTCAATCAGCACGAACGATAAAGCTATGGAGTTGTAAACAGGTTAATAGTAAAAGATCGCTTTCTTTTATCAGTTTGCTTTTTTTTTTCATGCATGGCTTCCACTGATAGAAAATATTCGTTCTCTGTGATGTGGTTTGTTGCAGGGAAGCTTGGTTGCATGGAAAACTAAGGGATTCGGGAGGAAGCACACCACCTTTCGAGGTACCCACTTAAAAGTTAAAACCCTTGTCTTAACCTTGAGCTTCTGAATTTGACCAGCAACTGAAAACGTTCAATATAGGAACTTAGAATGACGAGAGATGGAATAAATTCTAGTTCTCCTCTCTTTTCATCAAGAAAGAAATCTAGAGGGGGGGGGGAACAACAGAAAAGACAAAAACCTTTCAAAGGGTAGTTTTGTCATTTACAAAGTCAAGGGGCAATTGTATTATTTTCAAAATCCAAGACTCCCACCACAAGCGAGTTCATGGAATACAGAAAACTTATACAAGAGATAGTATGTGGTACAGCTAAGGTCCAGCATCCTCACAGATGCAAAATTCTTCACAGTATTGAGCTCTACCCACCAAGCTGCCAATTGATCTCCCTTTTCCATATTATTGGTAGAGCACCATTTTTGTATAGGAGATTGCTCCATTTTTCTTTTATCTTGTTTGGTTCTTCATTTTGGTAGAAAAGGCACAAATCCATAAACCCACCATTAAGCTTCAACCTTGATTGATCTTAGTCCAGCTATATATCCAGTTCCAGGTTATATAACTTTACAGTATTGGGATCTGAGGTTATAACCTCTATCCACCTCATTAGGAAATGACCCATCAGTAGGAAGGTGATGGATGGCCCAGATTAAGGAGTTTTAGGGTAGGTTGTTTGAGAGTGACAGCAATCATGTTCATGGGGATATATGTTCTCATGGTCAAACAGACTTCATTCTCAGTTCTTTATTTTATTACCATTAGTTCTAAGACTTGTTTCAATTTCTTATGCTTTTCTTTTTATTATATTCTTCTCCTTTCAGAAGGACATGGACCCAAAGAACTTAAACTATGAAAGAATATCGGATTTGAACGCATCAAGCCACACAGGGACGAGCCCCAAGAAGCCCAATCTGGAGTTCACCTTAGGCAGGGCACTTTGATCTCATCATCTGCTGGAGTACTCATTTTGAAATCATTATATCTCTGAAGGGTTGGTAATGAGAATCAGGTACCCACTTGGAAATCAGAGAAAAGAAAGAAAGAAAAAGAAAGAGAGAGAAAAGAAAGAAAGACAAGGAGACAAAAGAGACAGAAAGCAGAAAAAAGGAGAAGGTGAAAAAGCATGTCCTTCCTATCAAGCTGTGAGACCCAAAGCAGCATATTATATTCCAACGTAAATATGAAATCTAATTTTATTTTTGTAAGTTTGGCACTTGATACTTCTCACTTCTCAGAGAGAGAGAGAGAGAGAGGTGTTAATTGTTAAAGTGGAATATGATCCTTGCATTGGTAATTGCAATTTGAGCTCTTTCCTTTTACACAGAAAAATTTGATTTCTACAAAGGAGTCGAGAGGGTCTTTCTTCGTTCTTAGGCATTCGCACGTGCTACCACTTTACGCTTTTCCAACAAAGGGATGAGAAAAAGTAAAGAAAAAGAAAAGAACACAAAATTAGGGGAGATATTCTCTGACCCGAACGTGTACCCGACTACAAGCCCATCATCACTTTTTCTTTTCAAGTTAGCTAATTCCAACCTGGTTTAGATTCTACTCCTGCCATGATAGCCTTAGTTTTCAGTTTAGATTCTACTCCTGCCATGATAGCCTTAGCTAATTCCAACCTGGTTATTAGTTTAGATGTGATCGGGTCTGGGTTGGAAAATTGTTAACCCGACCCGGATTTTGCAGTTATCATTTGATAATTGTTTATTCTGAATCTGTGATTGTAAGTGAACTTGGTGAATTTGCTTTATTGCTTGAGTTGGGGATCACAACTATAATTATTAAATTAAAACAGCTGCTACTGACGGTGGAAATAATGTTGAGAGAAAAATCAAGTTCATGGACCTCAATTGATGTTTTTAATGTCTGTGTCTGTCTGTTTGTCCCTATCAGCCCCTATCTGTGTCTTAGCTCTTCTGTTTGCCAGTTTGTGGTGTAGAATCAGAGTCACCCTAATAGTATTCTTCTTTATTCTCCTTCTCATTGAAACCAGCCAAAACTCAACAACTAAGAGAGATTGCATAAATCATGGAAACTCAACTGGGATTGCTACTGGACAAAATGAAGCTTCCAATCCTTCTATTCCTGTTCTGGATATGCATCCTTAAACAGTCTTGTCATCATATTCTAACTTTGGTGTCCATTCCACTCTCTCTTCTGTATTGTATTTTTTTTATTTTTGGTAAGGAATTTAAGGAGACTGGCTAGCAATCCGCCAACCTAACCTGCCCTTGTGTGGCTCAGCTGCATTCAACCTGACATGTCATCAGCAACGACACGTGACACAGGCCTCTGCCAGGCTTATCTGTCCAAGTTCTTCCATCTGAGGAGATATGGGTTATGACCTAACTTCATCACAGATCCATGTGAGCCCTAGTTCTTCTACTAACTGGATAAATCAACCTTGATCTGTTGTCTTCTAAGAAATTAGATCATTGAGCAACCAAGAGAAAGGTGCTTAATTATGGTTTTATCTCCAAGCCTGTACCCAAATGATATTCTGTGTGTCAAAACCTATACACACCAGAAGAAAATCATTAAGAACACCCAACTAGGATTAGCAACCACCGATTCCATGACTAAGTGAATTACTCACTCAGTAAGTTCTGAGTTCCTTAATGACTGAATTACATGTCAGAATGGTTATCATGCATATTCCTAAATATTGATCCACTAGAAGACAAAGCAGTAAGTCATTCAGTTCAGCCATTTCAGCTATTGTCAAATGTCCCCTTAGTACCATTCAGACCCTAGTAAGTTCTACTTTTTCAAGGTCCCATCTTGTCCAAGTCTGGTGGTACTTGGGAGGCTGCACTTTGTTCTCAAATCAATTAGATTAGTTCTAAATTACTAATTAATTAGGGAGGCTGGCCTTGTTCTTTGTGGTTTTCAAATGACTAACAAGTAAATGAAGTTACATTCTGATAAAGTTTCATGTAGAACACCTAATTGAGAGTTGAATGCCGGAACAAAGTAGAATCCAACTTTTTTTCAGTACTTTTGAAAGACTAATACCTCAGTCTATACTTGCCAGATTCCATATATAAATTGAAAAAGAAAATGCTGAACCAATATGTGACTGGTGATGACAAATTTCATAGTCGTGGGATATAGATTTAGATAAAGCTTCACAAAATTCTATGAAGGCGAACCAATATAGATTCAGATAAATGCTGAGCCAATGTGAATGTCAGAACAAAGTAGAATCAAATTAACTTTTTATTTCAGTACTTTTGAAAGGCTAATGCTTCAGTCTATATTTGCCATATTCCACATAAAATTAAAAAAGAAAGAAAGAAAGCAAGAAACAGAAATCCTTTTGGTGGGAAATGACTTGATTTTACAGCAGTCCTATTTAATCCATCCCAATTTCCAAGGACATAAATGACTTGAAAGTTTTTTATGAGAAATGCTACAATATAGGAACATATTTTGCATTAGGTGGGTACCACTAAAGCACTACTAGGCTGTAAATCCCTGCACTTCAGGCTGTAAATGTTGCACCCCGGACAAAATTGCTGTTTGTGAATAAGGACACAACATATGCAACTTGGGTTTGCAATACTTATAGCTTAATGATTTGTAGTGCCAACATTACAAAACATGTTTGTGTACCATAGAATTTGTGCTTTTCTATCCAATACATATAAATCTGCTTTCATGATCAATTAGATAGAGTTCACCTTATTATTCTTCATTACTTACTAATATTAATACAAAGTACAAGGATGATATTCTCTTATGAAGGGTCTAAATGAAAATAGCTAGTAATCAATCATCCACTATTTGGGTTAATATAATATTATTTCATTTGGTTTTTCTTTGGCTGAGGTTTTGCAAAACTTACCATGTCAATGGGTTGAGTTCGGAGACACCCATGTTGATCCCATATGGACCATCAATTTCACAGTTCAAGCTAGAGCTGGTCTTTTTTTTTCCTTTTTTAATATTTCATGGTGAAAATAGGAGTCACTGCTTGGTGTAATGGTCTAAGAACAGCCACTTTGAGCAGAAAATGCTGAAGGTTAGGACCATATCCAGTCTACCCCTCCCAAGACCCCACATGGATGGGCTATGTCATTAAAATCAGAAAAAAAAATGCTAAATTTGAGCTATGTCATAGACCTAAAAGAGATGAATAAATATAAAGAAAGAAAGAAAGGAAAGAAAGAACTCAAAAACTAATATAACTGTGCTTACAGCTTTTGGACCCATGGAACTTTAATTTCCCCTGTGATTTCCTAGTCGAACTTTCAAAGAATCAGGATGATCCCTTGCATGGGTGCCAACTAAGAGATAAAGTAACTAAAAACCTAGTTTGATCAGATGATCCAGTGATAATGCTTTTAATTTTTCTTACTTTTACTCATTTGGACGAAATAAGTGAAAGATCTTATGAGGCATGTAGCAAGTTTTGGGGGCCCAGACCATCTAAAAATCTTCTGACCCCACATCAATTTCCTAGATTCATGAATTCACTTATCTTTGTTTATACCCATCAGCAGACCCAACTATGGATGCATTCCTAATATATGAACGAAACATAATCAGACCCCTCCTCAATTCCATTATTGTTGTCAGATGCATCAGTTAATTGTGTACACACCCAGCTATTTTTGGGTCTGGTACACGGTTAATTGTTCACCTTTGGTTGCTCCTATATGTAGTTGTATCAATTATCAAGTCCAAATTAAAAAGAAAAAAGAAAGAAAAGAAAGAAAAAAAAGGAAGAAAACAGAATAACCTAAAATGGAGGTGGGTATATTTAAATTGAGAAAGACTCTTAATCGATATTCCTCCATCATCATAATTGACCCTGATAATGGAGAGTGAAGGGCATTAACTTGCTATATAGGATTAAAAGATTGTCCTAGGATCTGGTATTGACTCATCACAACTGCCGGATTGTGACGATAGCTCTCAAATTTTCTTCTTTATATCAAACCCACTGCCCAAAGATGAGATGCAAGGTTGCCAATAATGAAAATCCATGTATATATAACTGGACCCCTACCAAAGTTTTCTTCCCTAGACCAATGTGTTGGCAATTTTAGTAAACCCACTTGATTTTTTTTTTTTTAATTTTTTCTTCTGGGTTTAGTCAATTGTTTCCCAAACAGGCCTTGGTTGGAGGTTGGCAATGTTTGGCATTTCTCAACTCTACTGGGGTCTCCACCTATCTCTTATCCAACCTGACCCCTTTTTATATTATTATTTACATTCAAAGACAAATTGAATTGGCCATTTTCAACCTGAATAAGCTAAACCCAGGAGAGCTGATTCATGCCAATGAGTGATAGGATACATTAGAAGAGGTCCCTTTTTTCCTCTAAAGCTCATTTGTTAAGATTGTGTAGATTGACTTATCCACCAACCTGATGGTTTTGACCATCCAATTGGCTAAGTACAGGGGACCTTGGCTCATCGTTTGTCATCTCCATGCACCAGAAATGAACTATCCTTTTCACCACAATGGTGCCAGCTACTATGGGCATGAGTGTTGAGTCTGCTGCTTGCGTAGGAAAACCAGAAGCCCCACAAATAGAAAATCCTGGCTACATTTGTCTATACTCCCACAACAGGAGAAGCTCCAAAAGCATTAATTCATGCAGAACAGCAATCTCTTTCTCACCAAAAAAAAAAAAAAAAAAAAAAAAAAAAAAAAAAAAAAAAAAAAAAAAAAAAAAAAAAAAAAAAAAAAAAAAAAAAAAAAAAAAAAAATCCGTACTCCTTTGTATTTCTTTACAACCCCAATCCTAATCTACAAATCTACAATTCGATTCAAAAACTAACTCCCAGAATAGATGTCTAAAGGATACTGACTCAGTTTTCTTCTTCTCTTGCCATCTATTTGCTTCCCTGAAAACCCCTTCTTCTGTCTGTGGTAATAAGTTGCTTTCTGACTACTGCCTTTCTACTTTTAACTTCTAGTGATTTTCAATTTTAATGGGCTAATTCAAAACCCATTTCAGTTTAGTTTCTGTTATATTCAGAAATTTGACTTCAACAATAACCTAGCAAGGTGGGTTACCAGATGAGGTAGTAATCTGAGAAAAAGGAACAGTTGAGCATTTAAGGAGGAAAAGAAAGAAGTAGAAAAGCGTAGTTGGGGAGTTTTGTTTTTGGTTTGGTGTGATGGGGATAAGAACAATGAAAAATTGGTAAAATATTCAGAGGTTTGGTTGGAGGAACGAAAGATGTCGTAGTATGAAGCTTCCTGCGCCACGCGTGGAGGAACACTTGGCTCTGCTCTGCATGGTTGCCTTTTAGCAATAATTGCTGTCATGATTACAACATATCAACTTTTGCTGCAAATTTTA